CCCCTACCGCCCACCATGAAAGCTGGAACGCCCACTAGTGGGCGGTAGGGACCAAGTTGACTACCACTGATTTAAATGATCTTGTAGTGATTGGATAATGGGTTCATGCATAGTTATCCAAAGGAAAAATCACTTTTACCCAACGTACCCAGATTTGGGAAGCACTGCTTTAAAGCAGACTATACTGCCTTCAACATCCACCCCAACTCAACTATTTGGTCTACAGTGTCCATAGTCCTTAACCACTAATCATGCTAACTGGACTGATGGGAGTTCAAAGCATCCAGGTTGTTTAAAGAAGATATTATTGGAGGATGGGAAGAGTGATGCTTTTGCCCAGGTTAGTCTCTGAGAAAAAAAAAGCTTTATTTATTATTCTTTTAAGCCAAACAAAGACCAGGATTGCATGGAGATGGATAACAATGTTAAAACAAAATTCCTGGAAACACTTAAAAGCAAGGGAACACATAGAGCAAGGCACTGTAAAATAAAAACATGACAGAAGGAAAAAAAGAGAAATCACTACATATATAGATCAACCTCTAATTTTCTTTGAAGCTAAGTATAACATTTTCCTTATAACTTGGGGAATCACTGACCATAAAAGAATTTCATGCTGCCCTCTAATGGTACATTGTTAATTACAACAGAATTGGTCCAAAGTGCTTCAGGTTTCCTAAAATGAGGACTCACAGAAGGCTTAGATCAAATTCTGATCCAACCCTGCCCTTTACTCAGTTGCTCTGTCAGGTCCAGCACTGGAGGTCAGGGTACATCATCACTGAACATTTACACAAGACCAAAGCTATAGCAGAAAGCTAATGTCCATTGGTCTCTTTTTGCTTTTGTTGCTTATCACTTGTCTGATGTGAAACAGCAATCTCCAACTGTCAGGCTTCAAGAACCAAGAAAGATATATATGATTCCTCCAAGCAGACTTCTTTATGGTTCCTCACCCACAGACAGAATCTTGCCAAACTAAAGTATGCTGTCACTGCCATAAAGCATATTACCTGGGAACTATTAGGAAAAACTGAAAGACTAAAAATCCAACGGCCATTCAAAATGGTTTCTCTACAAAATTAATAATCTAACTGCCCTTCAAAAAGAGTTCTAAATTAGCATCCTGGACAGATGCTCTCCAGCTATTCTGTCCACATTTATTTTTTCCTACCAGCCCCATATTGCCTTTCTTCTCTCAGCATTTTGTCTCCACCTGGTGTCCTTTCCCTTGGGATGCTGCTTCCTCAGATTCTCTTCTGTTCTTACATCCATTACTGTTACAGTCTCCTCCTAGCAATCTCCCTGTCTTTCTAAATCATCCAAAACATCTACGATAGCGCAGCAGTGCAACAATGGGCATAACCAGCTCAGCAATTCATGAGTTCAACAATCCATCTGCACTTTAACCAATTTGTGGGTTGTTTTATTGGCCAAAATTATTCATTTCATTTAAAAGGAACACATCCCTTTGTTTCTTCTCTCCTCTGTTCCTTTCCACCTGCTGTCTGGATGGTGGGCAAAATTTTAAAAAAAGAAAGAAATCAAGTTGGCTTTCAGCTCACTCACAAAGCTTTTCACTGTGGCGAGAAGATAACATTGCTGAGAAGTCATCAATATTCATGCAAGTAAATCTGAATGGAGGCATCTTAGACAGATGCCTTCTGAAAACCAGAAGGGTATATGGTTTTCTATAAGGGGGGAGAACAGTCAGGGATGAACCAGCAAAAACCAGACTTCAGTGCTACCATCTCAGTAAAACCACAAGGAAATCGATAATTACTGTTCCCCCCCCCCTTGCCCATCCTGCAAATCAGAGTCTGGGAAATTTTGTGGCATCTTGCCAACACTTACATCACTACTAAGAAGGTTTGGGCTATAGAGACAGTATTCTGGTCAGCTTCATCTGCTCCAGAAATGAAAGGACAAGGCAGCGAGAGCATCACATTTAAGCATCAAACACTGAGCAACCCATGGCTTAAAACCCGCATGATGTTCCAGAACCCTTTGCAGGCTCATAGTATCTGCCTCTGCCCTGAGAATGGATGGGGTGAAACAAAACAAAAACATTTCTCAGAAAGCTGAATTTTTGTTTAGTGCCACATTCCATTTAGAACAACCAACTTACAGCTCACGACAGCCCATTTTTTTTCCAAAATGTCTTGCCCAAGATGAATTAAAAGCATCTTTTGAAGTAATCCTTAATCGGTTAGCACCTTTCAGTTCTAATAAACAGATCAGTGTAAGCGGGCTCACCTTCGCCATAATAGCAATCACAATAGCGCTTAAGACTTATATACTGCCCCATAGTGATTTACTGCATTCTCTGATTGTTTATAGAGTCAGCCTATTGCCCCCAACAATCCGAGTCCTCATTTTATCAACCTCTGAAGGATGGAAGGCCGAGTCAACCTTGAGCCGGTCAGGACTGAACTCCTGGCTGTGGCAGAATTAGCCTGCAATACTGCATTCTAAACACTGTAGCAATAGCAACAGTACTTAGACCAGGGGTGTCCAGACTTGGGAACTTTAAGACTTGTGGACTTCAACTCCCAGAATTCCCCAGCTGGCTGGGGAATTCTAGGAGTTGAAGTCCACAAGTCTTAAAGTTCCCAAGTTTGGACACCCCTGACTTAGACTTATATACTGCTTTACAGTGCTTTACAGCCTTCTCTACGCAGTTTACAGAGTCAGCCCCCAACAGTTTGGGTCCTTATTTTCCCCATCTTGGAAGGATGGAAAGCTGAATCAACCTTGAGCCTGGTGAGATTTGAACTGCTAAATTGCAGGCAGTGGGTAGTCAGCAGAGGTAGCCTGCAGTACTGCTCTCTAACCACTGTGCCACCGTGTACCACTGCAGTTCCTTAAACGTTTAGTATAAATTTATTTATCAAAACTTATATGCCACCCATTTCACTAAGCTAACTCTAGGCGGCTTTCAGACATTGAATAAAATGTCATATAAAAATAATTAAAATAATAAATACAGATCTAATATTTAAATTAAAATAAAACTGAGCAGGATGAAAAAGGCAGCAGCAAAGTGTGCACACTCTATCAGCCACCTCCAACATGTCACATCCCCATTAGGGCCCCAGACTAATTGGCATAGCCATGTCTTCAAGGCCTTTCAGAAGGCCAGAAAGTTGGGAGCAGATCTGACCTCTGGGGGCAAAAAGTTCCTTGGCTGATGATGGGGAATGCACCATGCCCCTTCTGTTCAGCATGGAGGAAGCAGATTAATTCCATTGGAATGAGCCAGTTTCTCAGATAGCCTGGACCCATGCCATGCTGCACTTCAAACTGGAAGATCAACAAGTCAGAGGCAAGTACCAAGTGAGGGTAAAAAGCAAAATGCATGTAATTTCCTTTTGGTATAAGAAAGGGATTAAAACTGTTTGCTCAGATTGGAAGGTCCTAAACTAAATATACCCCTCACAGTTAGCAACTCAATGTTCCTTTGTTTTCAAGAACTGGAAAAGACTACTTCTAATCTAGGGTCTCCCGTCTGCAAAGCATGGGATCTACCACTAAGCTCCTGTTTCTCCCAATTTCAATGGGATTAGTACTTTACCATGGGGTTGGAGTCTGCAATGAGATCACGCAATGAATCCAGAAAGCCCTGATCTTCCACCATTTGGGCATTGATGTCATGCAGTTTGGCCACACAGACAGCAGCGGTCTTGCGCACATACGGGTCTTCATCCTTCAGACACTTCCGGAGAGGTTCACACAAGTATTCGGTGATCTTGTCCACGCGGATACATCCCATTGTGCGCACCGCTAGTGCACGGATGAGGGGGTTGGGATCCTCACAGTCCTGGGATGAAGAAATTAGTAAATATATAGATGGGCTCTATGCAACAAACATTACAAATTTTATTCATTATGAATATTATTCTGGGTCAAACTATACCTGGAACATCACAAACCACTCCATGTTCTGGAGGATTTCTATTTGGAAAACAGGAGATCTCTCTTAGAACAGGTGGATTGCCATGATCCTGAGAAACCATCTAACAAACAATATAACAGGAGATCTCTGGAACATTTTGCAGATACCTAATAGCAGCAGTTCCGAAAATGCCCTTGTCCTATCTGCCTCTAAAAGGACAAAATAATTTTGCCCCTTTAAAGGATTAGAAAAGTGTTACTGTGCCAGAAAAAGGATAACCATTAATGCACATATGGAAAGTTGATTCAAGGAGAAACACACACACCCCAAACCTATGTTGTGGGTTACATTGGGGAGAGAAGCAAAATGATCTTGATCAGGAGCAAGGACTGAATTAGATGTATTAATCAGAAATGCCCTTAAACAGAATCCTTAGATTCTGTGATTAATTTTAAGTTTTCTAGTTCCTGAAAAAAATGATAACAGATTTCCAAATGGAATAGAGTCCATTTTGCTCAAAAGCGGTTTTCCCCACCCATGTCTGACAGTAAAGTAAGGAATCTCTCAATATAATTTCTGCTGTCAAGTAAAATTACATCAGCAGCTAGGAAATCAATGGCTTGGCAATTAACTATACTGGACTCAATCAGTATCAGGTAGACAAGAAGCTGAGAAAGTCAGCTAGGACAGAGCAGCACCATTGTAAGGTTGCCGTTTGGAAGCTTGGGGAGGGGGAGGGGAAGGAAAGGAGGTAAGAACCTTTCTAAATAAAAATGTAATGAGTTAGGATGTTGTGCAAAGCCTTTTACACCCACTCATATACCCAGCCAAATGATCTAGTTAAAAATGAATTTGGAGCATGTGTGAGCCAAGCCACTGTAATATCCATCAAGAATGTTGTACTTCACCTGGATTCAAATCTTTACAGAGCATGCTGGGTTTTTTTTCTCCGATTGATTATTTTGAAACTCGATAGGTTTACATACAACATTAAACTTAGTTTGCTCAACTGTTTGCTGAATAAATTAGCATTGTGTGGGCTTATACAATGTGTAAACTTAGTCATTTACTTTTTCTGCCTTACTTGATTTGTATTCTGAAAGAACAATACAAAGAATCATATTGAGAGCCAGTATGGTGTGGTGGTTCAGGTGCTGGCCTGGAAAACAGGAAACTGAGAGTGCTAGTTCCATCTCAGGCATTTAAAGTCAGCTGGGTGATTTTGGGCCAGTCACTCTCTCTCAGCCTACTCTCTCATAGGGTTGTTGTTGTGGAAAAATAAGAATATTATGTTCTCCACCTTGAGTTTTTTATAAAAATAATTAAGGTGGGATATTGAATGAATGAATGAATGAATGAATAACGTGTGTGTGATTCTAAACTTCTTCAAAGTAGGCAGAGATAAAAATGAGTTATTTCGGGTAAAAATAAATTGTATATCTACATAAAAAAGAGCCCTTACTTTGCCATCACGCTGTTCCTATACTTATATGGGTGATTTACCATATGAACATATGCAGAAATTTAGCATCAAATTATTATTTTGCTATTGAAGTACAGCAAAGACACATAAATATTGCAACTTACTTTCACAAAACTGTTCACAGCCATGATGGCCATATCTGGCTGACTTTTAGCATAGTTCATCAAGTAGAGATACACCAGCTTCTTTAGCTCCAAGTTATCTGTCTGCATGCAATTCACCACATCAGGGAAAAGGGAACTGGACAAGAAGGACAGCCAGGTTAAAGCAGTAATTTCAAGACTGATGGCAGTGACTAATATTAACTAGGGAGATTCAAATTTAAGACCCCATCTCGTTAAAGAACTCCTGGTGACTTTGGATCTAAGACTCTCTCAGCCAAACCTAATGCATAGTATGACTGTAGAGCAGTGTTCCTCAACCTCAGCAATTTATAATGTGGAGTTCACCTCCCAGAATTCTCTGGGGAATTCTGGGAATTGAAGTCTAAGTTTTCAGATAAAGTCATGTTTCATTTGCAGAGCACATACTGTATCACAAGCCTTAGAATCTAAGACAAACATCTGGGGGGGGGGGGCATGATTGATCTTTGTAGATGGCCCGTGGCATGCCATTTAAACACTGGGAAAAGCAAACATGGAGACATTTCCTAGGCATTTGATGGTTTTCCCCTTCTGTCTCATTAAAACTTACACTTGGGTGAAGAAGTGGGAAAAATGGCACAGGAAAGCCATTAGAGAGATGTTACCTGACATCCTTCCCCACTGTCATGGCAGCAATGACTTTTTTCACTGCTTCCTTTCTCTTCTCCTTTTTTTCATTGTTGAGTTCAGCTTTCAGTTCAAAAATTTCCCCTGCAGACAAACATATGAGGACCACAGTCAAAAGAGTTCAGCAAGAGCAAACTAATTCAACCCCTCCAACTACGAATTCTGCTTTTAGCAGTGGACAACAGAGGCATCCAGGAAATCCTTGCCCTTAGAATCAGGAACTCTGCCTAAGGTGGCCCTCAGAATCTGCCAAGATCCAAAAATTTAATTATTATGACAGATACAGGCAGTTCTCATTCAGCAACCACAATTTGGATGGACCGGTTGGTTGTTGTCGCTAAACGAAAACATCAAGATTTTTACACTTTTCCTTCAGCTTAGCTTTGCTTTACAGACTTGCAAGGATTGTAAAGGGAAGGAATAGCAATAGCCCTTAGACTTATATACCGCTTCACAGCCCTCTCTCTTTAAGCGGTTTACAGAGTCAGCGTATCGGGTCCTCATTCACCCACCTTGGAAGGATGGAAGGCTGAGTCAACCTTGAGCCTGGTGCAATCCGATCTGCCAAATTGCAGGCAGCCGGCAGTCAGCAGAAGTAGCCTGCAATACTGCATTCTAAGCACTGCATCATCGCGGTTCTAGTCATAAAGGTTTTTTTTCTCACAAAGTTTTATAGTCATAAAGTTACTTTTTCACCACCGTTGTAATTGTGAAGTCACTAAATGGATCGGCCACTAAACAAGGGCTACCTCTATAGCAGATGCATTGCTTTTAAAGTGAAGGTTAGGTTACCTTGACCATAGGCTACAAGAATGACCTTCACACGTTAATTGCACAGTGTAGCAATAGCAATAGCAGTTAGACTTATATACCGCTTCATAGGGCTTTCAGCCCTCTCTAAGCGGTTTACAGAGTCAGCATATTGCCCCCAACAACAATCCGGGTCCTCATTTTACCCACCTAGGAAGGATGGAAGGCTGAGTCAACCCTGAGCCGGTGAGATTTGAACAGCCGAACTGCTGAACTGCAGTCAGCTGAAGTAGCCTGCAGTGCTGCATTTAACCACTGCGCCACCTCGGCTCTCAGTGTGAAGGAAGGAACCCTTTCTCTTCAGCCTTATGCAGTAGTTAACTGCTGTTAAAAGAATGAATTCCTCTTTGCCAGGAACGGAGGCTCAGGAAGCCCAGGGCTCAGTTTCTTTCAGAAGCTGTTTGGTGCAATCATTCCAGTTCCTCTTTGGGTAAATGGCTCTGCAATTAGGCACATTCACCAGACTGTCATTTTGTGAACATACAGGTCCCCCCCACGGCAGCAATTTTTTTGTGAGAGTTCTCACTAAATGCTTTCAGAAGTAAAGTATATAGAACAGTGAAAAAGACTATGCTCCAAAATGCCACAACTTGAAATAGTTGAGCAGCAGTTTAAAGGTTTAAAGACATGAAGGATTTTTAAGTGTCACTGCTTTGGCAACCTGGAGACAGTATTGTAGTTTTGCATGAAAGCATTTGCTCCTGTTTTTTTAAAAAAAATCTTTGCCACTGCATGCTATCAGAGCTCCACGGGAGCTATGCAGGCTTCAGATACCGTTTGGGAGCAAAGATATGCCAACATTCAAAATATCTGAAAGGAGAGCAAATACTTTTTCATGGAACAGGCTGTTCCAGGAGTGGTTCGGAAACCATCTGTGGTGTTTTTAGCTGTCTGAAATAGTCTGATTTAGGAACACAGCATTTAATTTTTGATTAATTTCACACATCCCTGCTACAAACCTGTGTTCACTTTGAACCAGAGAGAGGGAGAGAACACGATTGTCAAAGGAGCCTCTGACACATTGGTAACCTACAAGAGTATCTTGTGTTATCCTGCTTCTCCAAAACCCAAGAGACCAGTTGATTTGAGTGTAAATAAACACACAAACTGGATTGAAGCATGCAGTTTCTCAATCTCTGTGACGTAAGGTGTGTGGATTTCAATTTCTGAATTCTGGGAGCTGAAACCCATGTATCTTATACTCACTGAACTTGAGAAACCCTGGAAGAGGGGATGATTGCTGATACTTTACTGCAATAGGCATTGTCAAATCATTCTAGCATTTATAAATTACTAGATGATAAACCAGCGTTGTCCGGGTATTTATTTATAGGGGGAAAATGTCCGGACCAAACTTAATTTTTAATGTTGGATTTTCCCCCTTACCAGAGAGAGCCCCCTTGTGAAGTACTGTGAAGCCATTACTATGGCAACTCCACTGTGCTGTACAGTAGAAGCCATTTTATGGCACAACAGGCTGTATCTTAACAGAACACACACCCCAAGGGGTGTTAAGGGTGTCTTACCCCCACAGTATTTTTCTCCAGACATCTATGTACCAAGTTTGGTTGAAATTGCTCCAGGCGTTCCAGAGTTATGCTGGAACACACACACACACACACACACACACCTGTTTTTATATATATAGCTGATACTGAAGAGAGGGGGGATTAAACTCCCTTTTAAGCAAAAGGGCAGATTTAGGAAAGGCCCTGTGAATCAGGAGAGCAGAGGAGGGTGGGGGAAAGGGAGGAATCATCAGCTTGTTTAATGACTGCGTGACTCCTGGCAGTTGGCAGCTATGAAGATCAATAGCCTAGCTGGAAGCCCGGAATCTCCATTACCTAAGAGGGGGGAAAGAAAGAGAAGTGGCAATGCAAGAATAGGCAGGCTCTGCAAACCTCTGATATTCAGGGATGATCAGAACAGCAGGTGCAAAAATGCTCTTATCCAATCTCACAACCTCAGCAGGAGATCTACTAGCTGAGGCACAAGACCTAATCCCAACCTCAGCAATCAAGTGGTAAGTCAAAAAGCCCCTTAGAGGTAAAACACAGCCTACCTTATTCATTGCCTGAAGAGCTCCACATGCAGGGGGCATCAAA